TAAGATGCTCAGGAGATTTGTTTGTTGACAGAAAGTACTTTCTTTTGTCTTCATTTACTGCAAGACTCATTTGCTGTGATTGTTTTTCTAAGTTAGAAAATGCCGCACTGACGACGCGGATGTTCAGTCATCGGCATACGCAAGCAACATTACACTTTTGTAGAATATTGTGCCAGTACAGGTTGAATCTGCTGCTCGAATTATCGTTTCCAATATTAGGATAAGTTAGTCACACGACAAGGAGTCATCCTATCTGAAACTTCGTTTGGTATCAAACGGCTCGGAGAGGTTCTTCCCAATTCTAACGGAGCTGGTAGTGTTGCTCAACGTCATTTTACATAGCCATATAAGTTTTACTGGGATACCAAATTCAGACATAGTGTCAAAAGCAGTTTTGAAATCGACAGATAGGGGGGACTACGGTCAGAAGAGTCCTATTGTGCCAGTTTCACTATTGATTACACAAAGCCCCTTACAGCTTTGTAAATAAAGTCTAGAACTAAATCTAGAGAAGAGTTTTTAATCTGTTCTGATGACAGAAGTTCCATATAAAATAAGTTTCTTCTGAGCGATATTAAAGCTGGGCATTCACAAAGAATGTGCATGGTAGTTTCCTCATCTTCGAGGCATAATCTGTAGTCCGAATTAGCAGATAGTTGTAGTTTATGAAGGTGGTATTTTAGTACATAATGACATGTAAAGAAACCCGTTTGCAATCTAAAATTACATTTTGAGAACTTCAGGTTGCCTTTGTAGGAGTACGGTGATATCAGTGCTTTGCTTTATTAAGTTCTGGTAAGCTTTCCCAGTACTCCAGCCGTATGTGATTTTCCCTGTCCTTGATTATCCGCTTTGTACTGGCCCAGTTTATCCCACAAAGGGATTGAGTTCCTGTAAAAGCCGTTTTTTATGCAGTTGTGGCTAGCTCATCGGCTTGTTCGTTTCCCAAAACTTCTCTGTGACCCGGTTAACCTTATTCAGAGTTGAGAGAGAGCTCATAACATTCATAACATTTTAACTTGAAAGTCCAAGAGGACAGAACTTTGAAAGCAGCTTGGCTGTTGAAGTAAATAACAATTCTCGAGCCATATGGTTTTTTGAATTTCAGCTTGAAAGACGCTCGGCCATTTGCCCATTGCCTCCGAAATTCTGGTGTGCCTCCATCCATTTTTGATCCCTCTGTGTACCAAACCAAACTTTTTGGGTCAACCTGTGGGGCTCCGTTTTCCACGTTGGAAGTGAAGGAATGTAAACTTCAAATTTTTTGCCAAAACAATGGAGTTTTGTTATATAGTCTCCATCGCACTGAGGAATTTTATGTGCTCCAAATGCTTTTAATATTATTTCATGACCATAGTCAGGACAAACGTTATTCATGCGGGGTTTCAATCGGAGTGCACTAAACGCAGCCGTAGATTGAATATTAATGTGCAGATGTGTCAACCCAAGTATACCAGTCATTAAGAGTCACGCGAGTCTCTGAAGTTTCGGGCAAACAGTAATAGATCCAGCCTGTGTGACCTTTTGCCACCAGACCAGGCAACCATATGTCATAATAGGACGTACTACTGCGTGGTATATCCAAAATATTGAAGCATGTCCTCAACCCAGGAAATAATATCAGAATCAACATTCCTGTTAGATAAAGCCTTCGTAATCGAGCCAAAACTCGTATTATCGAAAGCTCCTTCTATATTCAGAAGTACACAAAGTGCGATTTTTTTGTTTTTGTGGGCCTTTTCATTATTGTTGTTTTAACTTCATTATGATCGGAAGGCGGGATTATTATTTCATCGTCAACGATTGCAAATTCGGCATCATCTTCGCTTTCAGTCACATCACTACTATTGCCATTTAGTAGGTTCGAGAAGTGATTCCTCCAAATATTAAGCATGCTTTGAACATCTATCACCAGATTACCATTTAGATCTTTGTAGGAATTAACTCTGGGTTTATAACCATTTGTCAGGCTTTCGATTGCTGGGTTTATATTTTGGAGCCACATTCTTGTCGTCCAGCTTTTCAAGCTCCTCGTAATTATACCTTTCTGCTTCTTTCTTTTTTCGCCTGCAAAGGCGCTTCTCCTGCCTTCTATTTTTCCGAAATCGTTTTTTAGCAGCGTGCGTTGCAACTGACCGCAGGGTGCCTTGGTATGCTGATATGCGTCTCTCTCTGCAGTAGCGTCATGACACTCTTGGTCATACCAGCTGTTTGTTTATCTACGGCGATAGCCAATCGCTTTTTTGAAGCGTACTTACTTTTTCATCGCACATAAACGTGTGTGGATCTTGGCTGCAACAAGACAAGGATCCGAGTCGATGCAGACTTTTCAGATATTACATACATCCAAGTCACTTGAAGCATGCCTTTCGTCTATCACAACGAGATCAACTTTATATCTTGTGTTTTAGCCATGTTGCCTTATGTATGTTGAGATGCTGGAATCTGGTACTACTAACCACCATGTTTCTAACCGCTGTGAAATCAATCAGCCTTTTTCCATTATCAGAAGTTTTTGTGTGAAGGCTGAACTTTCCGCTAGTAGCGCCAAAGATAGCTTCTTTATCTACCTTTGCGTTGAAGTCTCCTACAACGATTTTGATGTCATGATGGAGACAGCGTTCATATGTTTGTTCATGGTGTTCATAGAAAGTTACCTTGTTGTCGTCATCTTTATCTTTCGTCGGGGCATGCACACAAATTAAAGTAACGTAGAAAAATTTTGTTTAATACGGATTTTGCCGAGCCTTTCGGTTATTGGTGTAAATGTTGAAACCAAATTTCTTAACCTTCGGCTTACCGCAAATCCGGTTCCGAATTCGTGCTTTGTTGCATGGCAGCTGGAGTAGATGTCACAATGTTCTGGTTTAGAGCATCCTTGCCTCGGCCATTGCATTTCCTGCAGGACGGTAATGTCAGCCTCATATATCTTGAGGACATTAACCAGCTGTATAAATGCACCTACTCAGGTCCATATTTTTAAATCGTGTTTCTTATAACGTTTGCGTTTGTTGTCACTAGTAGTTCGTTTCCTTATCTGATGCTGCCTCGACATTTCCATTGAAAGGAGTTTTTAATTGGTGCGTTCCAAGTCCGACGTATAACCTTATATATCAATAGGGGGGATTTCGCTGCACACATTAGTGCAATAGGTCAAAAGGTAGATTTAAGGATACTTCTTCAATCTAGAAAGTAAAAGAGATGGCGAGAAATATTGTTGATGATAAGTGAAAATTTGTATCTCGGAGGAATGAGCCCACATTAGTGAGGTTTGTGTTTATATTGTTGCATAACATTTTAAGGTCTTGGCCCGTAGCTAGAATAGTGTGATAGTTGACATAAGATAAGACTGAACTTCGGGAGAGTTCATGAAAGAAGACTGCTCTTAAAGTTCCTTGTTTCCAATACATAGCTTTCGACATCATACCTCTTAAATCGATGAAGGATAATGTGCCTAAAAGATAGTTACAAATCCACCGTTCTGCCGAGTCAGTCATAGATATGTAGGATTCCGACTGTCCTTATAAGACAGAGGCTTACAAGAATTGTGCAGCCACATTTAACTTTTGCTTTAGGTCATTGGCGATTTGAGATGTGATCTCACAAAAAGCTGATGAATATTTTGTGAGATCTGTTTTAGAATTAAAGATTCCAATACCTTTTTCCAACGGTCTTTGGTTTGCCCAGCTTTAATATGGAGATTGTTTCACTAGTATTTCATGTTTGAGATGATTCGGTTCAATTCCAGTCACTAGAAATAACATTAGAAGTATGATGGCCAGAACTTAATTTTCTTAATAAAAAAATCACATATAGATCAGAAATGTCAAAATAAACACGTACCTGCTGGTATGGTAGTAGAGAATGGTAAACAATGCATGAGCGTCAAAACTCATTACCTAAAGATCAATAAATATAAATTTGATTAGAAACCGTCCCTATGGGAATCACTGTTGTTAAGAAACAAAATTTTTCTTGCGTTCGCTGGGTAATCTATATCTCTGACGCTATATTATCAACGTATTTGTTTCAACTTCTGTAAAACTATTTTGTTAGCGTTAATTGATCTAAAAAAGAATCTTTCAAATATTTCTAAAGGTTTCCAAAAAAATTGCCTTTCCGAAGCTAAGTCCGCAAAATGTATCAATAAAGAAACAATGGCTTCGTCAGAAATATGACAGATCGGACGAATATGCAACATTTTTAAATCTGAAACTATTTTATAGCATTTAAAAGCAATCAATACATATGCACATTGTCATAAATATCCCTTTTGAAATGAGGAAATATTGGACTTCAAAAGAGCCAAAGGATAATGGCGTATTTAAAAATGGACTATAACCTAAAAATTAATTAAGATTTTATTCTGAAAAATACAATCGTCCTAAAACCGTTATTCAGCGTAATTGTGTGCAGGAAACACATACCGAAACTATACGGCTGGGTGCTCAGTTGTTATTTAATATTTATTATTTATTTCAATTAAGTGAAACAGCATGAATATAATTGATTTAAACAGTTCAGTTATTTCACTTAAATCTAATTTCTCTTGCTTGTACAGAAATAGTACTGCTTTTGGGTTATATAATATTAACATATTACATTAAAAATGCAGTTTTAGACTAAGTACTTCTCAACTCGTAATAATATTATTCCGAATTAGAGAATGCTATGTTAACATCGCTGACAAAATTTTGCCCCATATAAATACATATGTACCGGTGGAACACACAATTTTTCGCCATTATCATTCATAAAGTTCCTAATAAAATTGACCCGACGACTACTAGAATGTAAAACTTACAAAATTTATATTTTCCACTTATATTCAAATAAATTTGAATGACATACATGTGTACAAAAAAATCTGCTTAGTTCATAATGCGTACCTAATAATTTATTCACCCTCGTTTCAGAAATGTTAAATTGATTAGTAACTTTTAAATTAAGCGTATTAAAATTAAACGGATTTGTATTGTTATTTATCTCAGTAGTCATACGTGATCAGTTGTGAGAGCAGTGTCATCGAAGTAACATTTTCGAGTCAAAGGCTTTGGAAGCGCGCATTAGTTAGTCCTTATGGGTTTAGTTTATATAATTTGATATAATCATAAATAAAAATACATAGAATTTTATTTAATATAGCGAATATAAGAAATGCTATTGTTAACAGCTTGTGTGTGTATATTGCAGCATCTAAAATATCATATTAGTATATGATACACAATTAGTTATTTTATCGTCATCAATCGTCATCAATACGTATATAAGATATATATATATATATTCGCGTATGTCCCAATCAGTATCAATAACAAATACTCCTAATATGTACACATATATGATCCGATGGATCACAAAATAAGCTTCATATATATAATCATATATATAATAAGTGACAAGTTTAAGCATTGCTGAATAAATGTATTGTGAAATAAAAAATGATATCCATAGATATGTGATTTTTTAAGTTATTCGGACATCATAAACCAATGATATTTCCATATGAGTCAACGATAAACAGTGGTAATGTGTATTTAAGTTACGGTAACACTTCTCGTTTCACATTGGGTCTTGTGAGCCAGAGATTAGGGTTTTTCTGCAAATCCAAACAGCAAGTATTACCTGAATTACACTTTCAAAAATACCCGGTCGGAATTAAAATATTGTAAAAACATTTATCTTACATTTAAATAAATTTTGATATTTAAGGTAATACTTAATGCGTTGCACATATTTATACACAATATTTGATTGAATTAGTTTTTATTTAAAACTATTTTCAAACATTTTTCAAAATAATTGTCTTCTTTTTGAAAACGAAAACGGAAAGTCTAATAAGAAAATCACTAGTAGATAACAGACTTCAGACTTCATAATGCTAATACTAAATATATAGACAAGTTAGACTGAATAAAGGACTATTCTTATAGTTATGAAAACTGCAATAAAGTTGAATGTAAATAAGTTACTTAATATTTTCAGAAATATGCATTGCAGAATCTAGTAATTAAACTACTTCAAACATAAATAGTGAAAAAATTGATCGTCATACTGAAAAAACAGGACTATAATTGAAACATAACCTTAGTAGGATATAAATATACACTGAATGTAAAATGTCGAATAATGCCGCTAGTAACGATGTAAGTTCGTCAGATGATATTGCCACTGCTCATATAAGAATGATGGTCAGAAATACAGATACTATAGAGATGCCAATAATTGAAAGTAATAAAAACAATGAGGACTTGACCAACAAAACAACTACAATCACAATATCCAGTCCACCGACAATCAAACAAATCACACAAAAACAGGTAAGAATATATTGATTATATTGAATATTAGAGCTTCGGGTTAAGTATAACAAATAGGTTATAAATTGTAATATCAGGAATAAAATTATGCAAAATAATGTTCGAAATCGCATAAATGCATTATTCGTTTCACATAAGTAAGACATTTTCCATGAAGTTTGATTTTATGTACCGATATATGAAACTTCAACAAAGTTTCAGGTATATTAGCAAAAGTAATGGAATTCAATATACAGTTTGATCGCGGTAAAGTGTACCTGTAAAATGTCATATATGATATGGATGATGGAGTGATAAATACAAGATTACGCCACTTAAAGAACTGTTAAGTCAGAAGTAAAATAACGTGATTATTGAGTTTTTAAAATTGTTTCTTCAAATATTATCCTAATTTTATTTGCTATAGATATATTCTATAAAACTTGAAATTGATTTAGATAAAATATGTATTATGCAGAACAAATTGTGAACTCTTATAGACAACCTAAATATAGTAGATGTTTAAGTAAGAATTTAATGTCACAATTTTGATTTTGTTGACAAAAAAGTGCAACTAGAAAGCAATTTTGCTTCTCTGTTTTGGTTTTATTAAAAAAAAACATGACTTCACTCAACCAAATTGAAAAAAAAAATAACACGCAAGTGGTGTGAAAAAAATAGTAAAATTCTTTGATGAATTTAGGGTAATGAGCATTTTGGAAACTTTGTTCAACAATTTATTTCGTTACAATAATAAAAAAGTTTATAATAACAGTGTAAATAATTCAGAAAATAATGGTGAAAACTTAAAAAAAACAGACTGGAGAATTCAATAATTTGAACAAAAAATTCTAATTTTAGAACTATTGGTGCATACAATGTATTGAAAGTTTGGAAAAGTAGAATTTGCGAGAGTCCTAAATTTTGAGCTTCTACTATATGCAATATAAAAAAATTGAATTCACTATTAATAAATATATTTAAAAATATTATAATCTCTAATTCAAGGAATGGGAATGGTAAAGATATTGAGATCGGTGTGATACAGTTTTGTTATCAGTTCGTTGCAATATTTTGTACGTAAGATATTTACTTTTTGGCGAAGGTTCATTTTTTGTATACATCTTGAAAAACTTAGGCCGAGCTTCTTAAATTCAAAAATGCGGGAAGTCTACGGTACAACTTCGCTACTCTATTATATATTTTTTGGTCTCCATTTTTAATTAAAAAAAGAAAGAAAGCTGATTGCAGTTCTTAATGTATTTGAAAGACATGAATTAAATAAAATATTAAAATAATGTCATCTATAGATACTTACATATGTACACAAATTTGCATTCGAAGATTCCGTCTATTTTTGTTACTGCAACGAACTGTTTGTTTAATTTATTCATTTAATTCATTCATTCTGTATTGCAAATTTGATTAATAAATCTAGTTTTTTAAAATGCCACCGTTAAAGGTTAAATCGACGTAAAAGCAAGAGAATTTCTTGCAATTATAGAAAAAATGAAACTGATTAATGGCTATTGCAATCGTCATTAACATATCCGCTCATTGTATGAAAAATATACTTCTGACATAGGAATTGTATAAGATTTATTAAAAAACAGAACAGAAAGCTTTAAGTTTTGCACTGGATGTTGTTCATTTCCTAACCTTAAAGAGAGGTGTGTACTAAAAAATTCGAATATTTGAGATATTTAAAGTAACTCCAGTAACTCTCCAGTAATTACAGGTAAGTCATACCGAATTGAGACGTTTTAGGAAACTTAACTAAAATTCGCTTCTGAAATTAAACAGAAATGGAATGAAATATAAGAAGTTCATGGAAAAAACTACAGTGTTCATTTATAATAGAAGACAATTCATCAAATCTTTGAATACCAAGGCAGCTTTGTGGACAGCAGCGGCTTCGTGGGTCACTATAATCTTACGAATATCAAGAAATATTTGTAGTAATTTATTGCAATCTCAAGATACTGAAGATGCTTAAATTAACTTTGTAGAGATACAATCAAATACTGATTAGTTTACGATATCTGATTGGTAAGCTAAAAAGAAAAGACATTAATTTTTTAAATAAATTTATTTAATGGCATAAAATAAAATATCTATATGCATATATATCTATATGGATATAGATATATATGCATATATATATCTATATGCATATAAGTTCTGATTTATATGTTCTTGTTAAAACTCAATTAAGCAATAAACACTTAGGAGAAAAAGTCTGCGTTCACCCACAAAATTTTTCTTAAATTTCGCATAACTCATTTAATTTTTATTATAATTTATTTTTGTTTTCTGATTCATTTTAACCAAAAAAACAACAATGAAGTTAAAACATAACTGCTGTTCTTTAAAAAAAAAATTAAAAACAATTATATGCAAAACCAATTTCTTCTTAATATTTAAATTAAAACAAATCAAATTCACAGAAATCTTAAATTTAATAGCTTGTGTCAGAACCTCTGCATTTAGTAACCTCTTTTAGGTGTCGTTGCATGGACTTAACCAGCTTTGCACCATTACTTGCCTTACACCCGCAAACCATCACGCCTCTACCACCATGTTTTACCACTGGAATTAAGTTTTGTTTATTATAAGCTGTACATGATTCTCTCCACAGAAGTTTTCTACCTTTGATTTCAAATATGCAGAATATACTCTCATGGGAGAAAATAAATCTTTTTTACAACTCTATAGGTTTATTTATATGCTCCCTTGCAAAGCTAAATCGTTTTATATTATTATTTCTGGATATGCATAGTTTCTTTCTTGTATAACCCGAGTATAATACTTGCTCTTCTTCAAAATTTTCCCCACAGTATCAGGACATATTTTTTTTCAAGTTTTTTGGCAATAGGTTCAGCTAGTTTGGAGGCTGTTACTCTGAAATTTACTCTGGCTGATGATGTTGCGTGTTTTTTATCTGATAGAATTGACGTGCGAGGTTTAGAAACGTAAGTACTTGCCTCCATGAAGTTATTTATAACTCTCTGCACAGACAAATATTTTCGTCAATTTTTCGTTAATTTATGACAACTTTCTAAAATTTATTCGGAATAAGACATATTCTGCACTCAATACACAAAATCGAAGCTGTCAAGTCTCCCAAACTTATACCACAGTGTAAAAGCTGCCAGGGGTTTGGTCACACTAAGAATTATTGTAATAGGATACCGAGATGTGTTAAATGCACAGCCAATCACCTTACTATTAATTGCATAAAAGATGCTAACGAACAGCCAAAGTATTGCAACTGTGGTGAAAACCATCCTGCGAACTATAGAGGGTATGTTGTAGCTATTGAGCTGCAAAAAGTTAGAGATAAACGAATAAGTAATCAGAAACAAAATAAAGAACTGATTAGCAAACCAAAAACACTTTTCACACATACTACAAATAAAAAGCAAAACGTATCTTATGCGCAAGCAGTTAAAAGTAATGGTAAATTCAGCATGCGAGCAATATGCAGCCAATAGCCACTTCTAGTACGAATAAACAAAATGAAGATGTACTCTCACAGATTTTGCATAAACTTCAAAAGTAGGAGGTAATAGCCAACGAAATACAAGTCCGACTAACTAAGCTAGAACAAAAACTTAACGAAAATTCAAAAAATAAAAAATTGCTTAAGAATCATGACATAGAATGCGAACGGTCTGTTAAAACACCAAGAAGAACTAGAAATATTACTTAACATGGAACAAATCGATGTTTGTCCTGTGTCCGAAACACAAGAATTATTTCATATATCACACTATACATCCAGATAACTGTGCGAGTGAAGGAAGTGCTGTAATTATTAGGAAAAGCATAGATCAATATGAAGAAAACAAATGTAGTACTCAAATGTTTCAAACAACAACTGTCAGTAAAACAAACCCTTATCAACCCTTATCAATAACTGCTATTTACAGTTCTCCAAGGCATACTATTACAGCAGAGGAATATAAATAGCTAATAGGAAGACACAAATTTAAGTTTATTGTAGGTGGAGATTTCAATGCGAAACACACTCATTGGGGCTCACGCATCACAACAACAAAGGGAAGAGAACTGTATAAGGCTGCATTAGAAATGGGATGCGAATTCATTTCAGTAGAAAAGCCAACTTACTGGCCGACCGATCCAAATAAATTGCCTGACCTTATAGATTTCTTTCTCACTAAAAAAATATCATCAAACTACATGGAAATCAAACAAGGTTTAGATTTGCACTCCGGTCATTCGTCAATATATTTAACATTAAGTGATACGATCATAACGAAAAATCCTTGTCCATACCTGACTAATAAATCTACAGATTGGAGCTTTTTTAAAGCATTGCTTGAAGGCAGTGTAAACCTCTCAACTCCACTGAGCACTTGTGATGAACTTGAAAGAGATTACGATCAGTTCATCAAGCAAATTCAAAGAGCGGCTTGGAGCAGTACCCCTAAATATAAAAGAAAAACGGTAGGGAAAAACTATCGAATGGAAATTATGAGTCTAATAAAAGAAAAAAGGAAACTAAGAAACAGATGGCATCAAAGTCGATCTCCTCTAGTTAAAAGCAGGCTTAATGAAGCTACTAAACGTTTAAAAACTGAGATTCGTCTTATTAAAAATGAGTCAGTAAAAAATTATATTTCATCACTTGGAGTTGACAAAAAATCAGAATACTTATTGTGGAAATCGACAAAATACCTTCACACCAACATTCAAAGACAGCAATGAAAAATGGGCTAGAAACAATTAGGAAAAAACCGAAGCATTCGCAAATAACCTGACAAATATATTTCAGCCTAATGATGTACAGTGTGATGAATTACTCATTGTCATAGAGAGTAGAAATCAGCAAATCGATCGAATAACAAAACGCGAACTAAATTCAGCAATAAAAGACTTGAAAAATAAAAAGGCGCCTGTCTTTGTCCTTATAACATCCGAAGTTTTAAAGCAGTTACCAAATAAAGCTGTTCGCAAACTATTAATGCAATTCAATGCAACAATAAATCTTAAATATA